ATGAAGGATCTTGGTCCATTCTTTGGAATAGAGGTGGCTAGGTCTAAATAAGGATATTTTTTGTCTTAAAGAAAGTATACTTTCAATCTTCTCAATCACACAATAATGCTTAGAGCCAAACCAATGGAATCTCCCATTGAGGTAAACCACAAATTGTGATCAGTAGTCGGAGCCTCTGAGTAACGCTGGCGTATATAAGAGATTAGTGGGTAGACTTGTTTATTTTATTGTTACACTCCAGATATTAGATATGTTGTAAGTGTGGCAAGTGAGCTTATGCATGCACCAATCTCCCATCACATGGAGGTTGTTTATCTCCTTGTAAGATATTTGAAATCTGCTCCAAGGAGAGGGCTACTTTTACCCGTCATGGGCACCTTGATTTACAAGGTTTCTGCAATGCAAATTGGGATTGGGTTGAGTATTCTCTTGATCGATGATCTACAAGTGGCTACTTTATGATAATTGGTGGTAACTTAGTCACTTGGAAGAGTAAGAAGCATAGTGTTGTAGCTCAATCTTCAGCAGAAGCCGAGTATCGAGCAATGGAAAGTGTTATATGTGAAATAATTTGGCTTCGTTCTTTTCTTCAAGAGATGGGTGTTGATGTATAAGCTCATATTCCTCTATGTTGTGATAATTAAACAACAATTTATATTGATTCAAATCCTGTATTTCATGAAAGAACCAAGTATTTCATGAAAGAACCAAGTATATTTCATGAAACAATTTATATCGATTGCTACTTTGTATGAGAAAACGTCGCTTCAAAGACAATATTTACTAAGGCCTCTAATTGAGTCCTACTAAACGATACTTTGGACAAGCTGAGTGTTTATATATATATACATGCTCTAGGCTCCAGCTTGAGGGAAAGTGTAGTGACTATAAAAGCCTTACATAATAGGTTGTGACAGCCATGTAACACTCTTGCATAATGGGCTGTAATAGCAACGTAACGATCTTGCATAATGGGTTATAACAGCCATGTAATAGTCTTGCATAATGGATTGTAACAGCCATGTAACAGTCTTGCATAATGGGCTGTAACATTTATGAAACAGTCATGCATAATGGGCTGTAACATTTATGAAACAGTCATGCATAATGGGTTATAACTCCCATAGGGATCTATGTATATATAGGGCACATTGCCCCAAGATTTGTATAGAGTGAAAAGACATGTATAGTTTCTTTATCTTGTGCTTGAATTTTTCTCTCTCTCTCTCTCTCTCTCTCTACGTACGTACGTACGTACGTACGTACGTACGTACGTACGTAGTACGTACGTAGTACGTACGTACGT